CATCGTCCTCAGCCCACATGGATTATTGTGGATTAGAGGGACGGGGACTGAGTCCCTGCTCAGCTAGAGGGTGCCGAATTGGGAATGGTTGAATAAAGTAACGGATACTTATTTATCCAGCCACACGACGAGAGAGTCACATAATCTTCCACACCTGGTTACTGAACTGGCTGTTTTCCAGGTGTAAATCAGGATGCTCCCTATGATATATAAAGCTTTGCCCGTCGTCTCAAAGGTCCTTTTTTCTGGACATTTTTTTTTCCTTCAGGAAGGAGAATACGTGTCGCTTCTCATCCAAGAAGCTTCATCAATTCTGAGTGGATTGTGGTGGTGGGGGGCATGGAAGGAATAAGATCTAAATCCTTCCATCACCCCATCACCCAGTTAGAACTGATGAAGCTTCTTGGACGAGAAGTGACATATCTTCAAAGAAAAATAAAGTCCAGTTGCTTTTTGAAAAAACACCTTTGAGACATCTACTGTATGACTGAAAATCTCCAAAGACATAAAGCTTTGCCAGCTTAAGCTGTAATTGATCCCCTATGTTTAATTTTTCCCCTAAGGCACCTCAACATATTAAACAGGTACTTAATTGCCTGGCAGGTTCGGTCCATGAAATAATGTGATCCAATAATAATTACAAGGTAGCTTAAAAAAATCTACCTTTTAGCCAAGCCTTTAGAGCTTTTCCTGCTGGAAATTTCGGGCCAAAACTGAACCTGGGATCACCGTGTTCTCTAGAACTGATCGCCTCTAATCCTAATTAGCATTTCACAACCACAGGAAAGTTATCCCATCCTTGCAATGACGATTTTTAAAAACCCATTTAAAAATGGATTAATGGTCCTCTACAACAGGGGTCCTCAACCCCCGATCTGTGGATCGGTACCGGGCCGCGGCATGCCAGCAACCGGTCCACGCAAACAAGCAAAGCCCCATCCACGGGATGCAGACAGCACACAAAACCACGCCCCCTCTGGTCCGCGGAAAAACCTCTTTCCACGTAACCAGTCCCTGGTGCCCCAAAGGTTGGGGAGCCCTGCTCTACAATACATTGATGTTTCTCCAAAACAGCAACTTTAAGACATATGCACTTCAACTCCCAGAATTCCCTAACCAGCGTAAGTCAACATATCTTACTTGCCAAATTTCAGAAACGCTGCTCTATAGTATGATCCTTACATTTATACTTACTATGTATCCTCCCTGGTTCAGCTGACAGAAGTGAGGAGAGCCTGTGGCCTAGAGCAGTGATGGCGAACCTTTTAGAGACCGAGTGCCCAAAAACTGCCCCCGCCCCTGCTCCATCCCCACCCCACTCGTCCGCAGGGCCACTCACCGCCTCCAGGGCCCGCCGCAGATCAGGCAGCCGAGCAGCGCCATGGCGGCCACGCCCTCTGCCTGCA